TTCTGGGTGATAAACCTTGCCTATTGTTATAATTTCTATCACTATTTTGGGAAAACTGCCTACGACTAGACTGCGGTGAGATAATAGCATTTGTATTGTTTCTCGAGTAATGTGAGGTTTCACCATTAGGGGGGTTACATCTATTTCTAGAGTGAGTGTGTTGCCTATCGTAAGCTTGATTATGAAGGAGACTGTGGTGTTTTTGACTGCAAATCGAACATCCATGTGATTTACACTGTGCTAAAATATGTTTTGTTGCTAAACAGTTAAAACATAATTTTTGAGTTTTTACAAATATTGTTCTATCATTGTGTGAGAGGTTTTTAAACTGTATACATGAGTAGATAGTATGATTTTGCAAGTTACAATACAGACATTTTTTTTGAGATTCATTAGTAGTACTTTCATTATTTACATAACTTTGTACATGATGAGATACTCTTACATTTTTTGTTTTAGGTGAGTCTAAATTTAATAGACAAGGAGCAAATAAACTTTCTAATGCCAAACACCTTTTTTCTAAAAATATCAAAAATTCTTTGAGAGTTGGGAATTCATTTGGATTTTTATCAACTTTATCTAACTCATATGCTCTTCTTGTAGAGATATCTAATTTTTGCAGGAATATGAAAATAAGTATTAAATCCCATCCTTCAGGGTTAACATTAAAATTCTTAAGAGCTTCGATATTTTGGTTTATTTGTGTAATGAACTCTCTAAGTGCTTGACTTGTGGTTTTCGTTATTGGGGAAATATTTAACAATATTTGAAGGTGTGCAAAGACTGCCTGCAAATTATTATCATATCTTTCTCTTAGTGTATCTAATGCTACTTCAAAGTTATTATGGCCTAGTTGGAGATTTTCTATCAAATGCAGGGGTTCTCCTATAAGATATGATCTGAGATAAATAAGCTTTTGAACTTGTGTGAGTGTACTATTATCAGCTATCAATGTTTTAAAGATTTCGTAGAAAGATTTCCACAGTGTAATATCTCCTGCGAATTTGGGACAATTCAACTCTGGGAGCTTAACATTTGAACTACTTTTATTGTCTACCATAATTACCTTTGAAGAAGTATCCGAGATAGTATTACTAGTGCTAGGGGTGGTGGTTAATGTTTGAACTTTTGCTTTTAAAGTGGAGAGAATATTATAATACTGGGTTTCAAACACTTCTCTGTCTGATTCATTCTGTATGTTTTCATTTTCTAATTTACATTGAATCTTATTGTATTCCTCGAAGGCTTTAAAAAGAGCATTTTCGCGTGATGTGAACTGAAATATATTTGTTTCTGTGGTACCTGATCCTTTTAAGTAATTATCAATTCTAGTTAGAACTGATTTGTGTGAATCGCGCTTCTTTTTTAAGACTTCGATTTCTACATCTGATCGAGGCATTTTGAACCTTCCGATATATACAACTAACTGCTGAACAATAAGAAAAAATAACAATAGAGTATCAAATCACTGACTGGTTTAACTGTATAAACCAAGAATATTGCGTTACACAGAGATAATGTACAATTATGAGGGTTTTATCACACAAATTTACAATAAAACATTCAAAAGTGTACTTACAGAGATTTTTTACAAGTGTAAACATAAATATAAACAATCACAACTACCATGTGACTCTGACAACTAACATCCGTCTGACACTAGTGTGTCAATTCTTCTTCTTTTTGGAGACAAACTGCAATGACTGACTGTCAGTCGGAGTGATGTGATCTGTGTTGCACGGAACCACAGAACTTACTGTGGAAAGGCACTGGAACCTGAAACTGTTGGCATCACTGGTCACTGTGGTGGAAATATGGCGGGAACTTTTAGCGTCACTGAGGCGGGAATATGGCGGGAACTTTTAGCGTCAGTGAGGCGGGAATTTTTTTTCCTGTCCGAACTTGTCTGGAGCACTTAACACATTTTTCTTTCACAGAGCCGATCTTGATATTTCACTGAAACAACATCCGGCGATTGGAGGACCAATTTATGTACTGTTTTTATACATAATGTTAAGAGAAGCAATCTCAAATATAAGCTATGAGAGATAATGTGAACTGTATATTTTTTGAATCCATATGTCGCTGTTTCTTTTTTAACTTTCAGTGAAATCATACACGCTCAAGTTTTTAACAACATTTAATTTCAACAACTAATCGCCATTGGCTTGAACAAACTTCAACAAAAAATAGCAGGTAAAAAGTCTTAGAAATTCCACTCGCGAACTCGCGATCACCAGCACTACGTTTCACTTTTACAGTATTAAGTTTATTGGTTTTAGATTGAATCAGAGAGAGTAGAGACCTTAGCCCTTTTCATCAGAAAGCTCAGTTGAGTTGTGTCTTATGAGTGACGAAAGAGAGAGTGTGTAAAAAATATGGCGTGAGCCGGGAAAGAAACCCCCTTCTCCTTCTTATAATTTTAAGTACCAACTTGAAGAAATAAAGATTACTAATTAAAATAAACAAAAAGGCTGTAAAGTATATGCACCCAACAATACAGCTCCAAGATATAAAAATTGCCTACCTATTGGAGAGACTATGTCTTGAACATTACCTAAAAATATTATGAAACTAAAACTAATATTTCTTACTTATAATAATAAACTTTCGCCAATATTATTAGACTAACCCCAGGTCTTAAGACATTAAATATATCCAAACAATTTAGAACAAAGTATGGCGCGATATAGTAAACGCTCCGTGTATGTGCTTAATACAGATCTTTATCGAGACTTTGGAATTCCAATAATAAAAAAAGAAATAAAAAGTTTTTGTCTATATGTTGTAATGTCTTTGGTTTTTGTGACTTATTAGCAAGAGAAGGAAGTATTTTTTTGGCATTCAGGTAAGCTGCAATAGTAAATACATACGTGCGTGTACCGAAACATAAACTTATTCTGGTTATTTAATTTTCGCCTTGATTTTTGGGGGTGACCATTACTAATACCTTGAAATAAGGAAGGTATCAGTTTTGGACACAGAGGTGTCCATTACTGAATCAAATGTTTTTAGTAATGGTCACCCCTCTTAAAAAGGGTAAACTAGGTGCGCACTGTGTAAATAAGTTCAGTTAAATTTAGCTAGATAAATATTTTATGGCTCTTATTAGACTCTTTTTAGACCGATGTTTAATTATCTACATTTACAATTTTAGATACCTAATATGGAAAAAAGATGGACTAAAAGAAGAGTGAGGAATTTCTTTGCTTACAGTGAAGATGACCTAAAAAAAGCAATAGAGGCTGTAAAAAATGGTATTTCAAAGAAGACTGCTGCTCGAATGTATAATGTTTCCCGTTCTACATTAGTAAGAAAACTATCTATGGCTTCTTTAACTATTAGAAGAATGGGTCCTGCAACGGAACTTTCCGAAATAGAAAAGAATATCATTGAAAATTGGATATTAGCCATGGCAAGAAAGGGATTTCCTGTTCATAAACAAAATCTCATTTTATCAGTTAAAAAAATACTTAAAGAAAATGGAAGAGAAACCAAGTATCTTCTAAATAAAACACCCAGTCGTTCCTGGTTTCAAGTTTTATTAAGGAGGCATCCTAAAATCAAACAGAAGCATGCTGAGTCAATAAGTAAAGCCCGAGCTGCCGTCTCCCAAGATAGAATAGAAAACTGGTTTGATGAAATCCAGTTGTATTTGCAGGAAGAAAAGTATGAAGATATTCTAAAAGATCCATCGCGAATATTTAATGGGGATGAGACTGGGTTTTTGCTTTGCCCCAAAAGTGGGAAAGTTCTTGGACCTAGGATGAATAATAAGGAAGATTTTTATGTAAGAGTGTCATCAGAGAAAGAACAAATAACAGTTATGGCTTCGTTTTCGGCTCATATTTCCATATAAAAGGGTTCCACAGTTAATTGCAGAGTCGGTTCCTAAAAAGTGGGCCTTAGGAAGGTCAGATTCAGGATGGATGACATCCGTAGTTTTTTATGAATATATTTCCAACCACTTTCTCCAATACTTAAAGGCAAACAACATTCGAAGACCAGTTCTTCTATTTATCGGTGGCCATCGCTCTCACATGACGAAAGAAGTTAGCCAACTATATGATGAAAATGGCATCATATTGGTGTCATTATTTCCCAATACGACCCACATAATGCAGCCAGCGGATGTTGCAGTGTTTAGGCCACTTAAAGCAGGTTGGACATCGGAAGTAAAAGATTGGAAGTTCAAAAATTTCCCAAAGGAAGTAGCACGTCATACTTTTGGGATATTACTAAAGTCTGTATTTGAAAAGTATACAAGTGTCAAAACTATTTAGAATGGTTTTAGGAAAAGTGGTCAGTTTCCGTTCAATAAAAATATCGTTGATTATTCGAAATGCATTCCAAATAGAGCAATTTGTGCCGAAACTGTTCAGGGAGAAATAATTTCAAATGAAAGCCAGGGAACATCATTGCAACTTCTGCAAGTCTTGGAAAGCAAGATTCAAAAAGATGAGTGTGAAATGTTCTTAAAAACTTATGTAAACAAGGATAACTGGTCCGGGGATATTAGTTATTTAAAACTTTATAATGTTTGGGCATCACTTAAACAGGAAACTGAAATAAATCAAGAATAAGCTAGACTTAATGAAGATGATCATGGATCAGGAACAGAAAAACGACACAAATCATCTGAGAAATCCCCTAAGAAACGAGATTCTTCAAAAAATGAGAACATTCATTCATCACCGGTTGCTGGCCCATCAAGGTGCTGGAAAACTCCACCAAGAAAAAATATTCTGCACTATGAGGAGATCGAAGAAAAAGTATATAATGTTCCTACACCATTCAAGAAGTGTCTTATATTTCCAAATCAAGAAGATTTTTTTTTGAAAACTCCAAAGCAGAAACGAAAAATTTTTCCTGCTGTGGTTTCTAGTGGAAGGTATAGGGAATTTTATGAGGCTTCTAAGAAAAAAAATCCAAACCAAAAAGTGAGGAAGGAAAATACGATTCCAAGTAAAAATGTTGATGAGAATAGCTCAGAATCTGACATGGAGGTTACCTATAATAATGAAGATCTTGACCTAAGCCCAGAAAATTTTAAGTTGCAGGCTGTCCAACACGTTATCGTTAGATATGAAGACAACTATTACCCAGGTAAAATTAATTTGTTGTTTTTACTATCAGTCTGTATTTTTCTTAGTTATTATTTTTAATACTTACTTTTGTTACAGAAATGGTTTTAAAACATGATCTTGAAGGCGCTAAAATTAAGACCATGATAAGTGCCGGAATTGAGGCTTGGAAATGGCCAATAAAGAAGGATGTGCTTTATTATTTTAATGAGGATATTATGTGTATCATCAACGAACCCCAGCCAAAAAATAACAGAGGTCATTTTACTGTGTTAGAGATGGAAAAATACAAATAAAGTGATTTTAAAAAAAGTGTCCATTATTGATTCACAAAGGGTCCATTACCCGTTTCCCTATGACCACTACTGGCACATTCGTCAATTTTTTACTCGTTGTAAAATAGTAACTTAATTTCTTATATTAATTAATTATAATTATAACAGTCGTAATCTGCACAAAAAAGCGCTTTAAAAAGATGTGTCAAAAAGTTATTTAGTCCTCACCCATAAGTAGTTAGCTTCGTTTGAAGTAGAAAATTGCTTAAGGGTGTCCATCACTGGGTCAATCACCCTACCAAAAAAAAACCATTGCATCTTTTACAAATGTATACAGATCTTTGCAGTTGCACAGTCTATGGTTGGCTGTTGTTTGCTGCTGTTATATTGCCATAATTCCTCTTTTTTTGTATATTGAATCAGAACTGCCACTTTTGTAAAAAGCTGGAATGTTTCCTATCTTTCCATTATAAATAAATAGTATTAGTAAAAAATATAATTTAAGCCTAATACCGCTCCTGGATTTTTCTCAATCTCTCTCTTTCACTATCTCTCTCTATATCCCCCGCGTAAATTCATTTCAAATGCTTTCAACATGATACTTGTTAGAGCTTTCATGTAAGTAAATTTAATATACCTACCACTCATATCTGGTTTATAAAACTTTTCCTGAAAATTTTAGATGGAAATCAAACTATCGTTTGAGTGCAATTTCAAATGTTTGCATGCCTGCTCACAAATTTAAATTTGGAGCTTTTAAATGGGTAAACACATACAGAATATGAAAATTTAAATAAGTATATATTGGTTTTGTCTCTTTACTTAGCCAATTACAATATTTTATCTCTTAGATTTTTAAATGACCAGGTTCTTTCGTGTTGAGAATAAAGTGTAAAAATAATAATAAACAATAATATTAAATTTAAGTTTTGAAAAATAGGTACATTATTAGTAGTACTGGTAAGCTAAAAAAAATACTATAAAAGTCAATAAACATATTACGGACACGAAAAAAAATTAAGGAATTTGAGTGACATTTTAGAATTCGAACAAAGTATGTTTTATTTTGTTATAAAAACAACATTTTTATTTTTGTTCTTGCTAGGTACAAATTAGATAGGCAATGATATGCAGATTACCACATACGCACAAATATATAAAATATTTAGAAATAAAAAAAAGAACTGTAAATTTTGGCTAATGTGAAAATGCATCATTGGTAAAATGTGCTATTTACACAAAGTGTACAGTATTCACACCCTGTATTCAATTTGTTTTGTATCGTAGTAATAGTTTGTTGAAAAAAAAAAATATATATATATATATATACAGGTAAAACGACGAAGTAACACCAAAAACTATTTAATCGTTCTCGCACCCGGAATTTTTCGCACTTAATTTGACTAAATGGCTCCTTATATATGGTTTATACATATATACATTCTAGCACCCTATATATGTATATATAATTAGTACATATATACCTTCTAGCTCCATATATATCATATTAAATAAAAGTTGACGAAAAACAAATTTGTTAGCTTGAGAATGAGTAGAACTTGATGTGTGACGTTTGCTTTTAACACGTTGGCTTCCAAGCCAAATTTCAGGATTTTGGTATGTGGTAAGTTTGGTTTGAGTGACTTCTATACCGTGTGTCACCGTTGATATTGAGCATTTTTTTTGCAATCAATTTTAAAAATGTATAGTTTCAATTTAAAGAAATTTAAACTAAAGAACCGATACTGGAATAGTGGAAATTGCCAATGATATACATAAGTATGTAAACATCTAAAAATCGTAGTTTAGTTTGATATGAATTAATGATAGTTACTGTTATATTTATACATTTATTTTAACAAAACAAATACAATGTACAAACGTTAAGGGCATCTGTAATCTGTAACGTGTGGAGGGTGGGTTACCTCCACAACACTTAGGCCTTATTAGGCCCATTGTGCATCCTCCTAAGATGATAGGCACCTCCTAGCTCGTGAGCCAGCCTACAGATTTAATATAGTTGACAACTTCGCCAAGAGGTGCTTCTGATATATCGGCCGGGTTAGCCGATACTCGCCGAACACAAATCTTCTAATAAATGAGAGCGTCAAGCAATCGTAAAGAATATGTTCGATGGTCTCATCTTCTTGCTCGCGTCCTCTGCAGAGTACAGATCCTGACAGCCCCATGATATGGAGATGCTTCCGTAATTGGCAGAGTTCAGTTTTGGGAATAGGCAACTTCAAGTTACCCGTTTGGCGAGTTACACGGGATATATTCGATTTATATTTCGACTTGTTCTTATGGATCATGCAACAAGTTTCTAAGAAAAATAAAGAAGGTAATGTTAATATTTCTTGTTTTAAGAACAGCGGTCTACATGAAACTAATCTGTGTGCTCCACATAAGAACCTTATTGCCCGTTTCTGCATTATAAGGACTCTACCAAATAATTCGGCAGAACAGACTCCCCAAAACTGAACAGCATAACCTAAATGAGAGTCAACTAACGCATAATATGCAGTTTTTATTATGCCACAAGATAGTAAATTTAAATCGTGAATATTTATTTCTATACCTAGATTCTAGATAATTATTTTTAACAAATTATTAAAACAATTTTAAGGTAATATTATTTTTTTTATTTTTGTTTTTGTTTATATATTTGATTGGATAATTTATGCGACAAGCTTGTTAGCTCAGTTCACAGAGCGCTCAATTTTATCAACTTTGCATGTTTCGACCATATCGCGACGTCTTTTTTTTTAAATATGAAAATTAAAAATACGAGTTTTGTTATTTATTTTAAATAGGTATTTTTTATTAATCTTATGTCCGAGCTTTTCTTTTCGCTATTTATTTTGTACTATTTTGAATATTGTTCAGCAAAAAATTTAAAGTAGAATTACAAGAAAGTTCTTGTTCACGATTGTTCATCGCATTATATATTGTTTTTGAAAAAAAAAATGAACTAATATTTTATTTTTTCTCGCCTGTAAGTCAAATGGCACTATCAATCATCTTTAAGTCGCCTCGAAACGCCAGGGCAAATAACAATAATAGCCGTCCCTTTCCCCGCACAAGCTCAGCTTTTGGGTTTAAAATTCACTCGTGAGGGTATTATTATTATTATTATTATTATTATTATTATTATTATTATTATTATTATTATTATTATTATTATTATTATTATTATTATTTATACCTAATGTAATTTCACCGTTATTATCCTATGAAAGTGATTATAAATGAAATTAAGTTTTTAATTACGACAAAACACAATAGGTAAAACGCTATAAAAATTATTTATTAAGGCATATAAAAAAACCAGCCACATTTTGATTGAACTTTATAGCCAGATTTCCTGATTTTAAACTTTTTTTTATAAAATGAATTTTTAGTCGTAGGAAAAATATTGTACATCCCTTGTGTAAAAGTGATTTTATACACTTGTGTCCCACTCGAGTAAAAAATTTCAATTTTCATACTTGTAATGTAATACGCTATATCAGTTTAAGTAATACAAAAACAACATAGTTGGCTCGGTAGCGTAGTTGTCTAAGGCGTTTATATTTATATTTAGAATCCTACGGCAAACCAAGTGAATTTTTAATTAATTTGCATGGTTCGTTATAGATTTGGTGTGTGCCGTATTTGCAGTAATTTAATTTCTATTACAAATTCGCCATGCTTTACCGCTTTGATGATAATGCTTGAGGTTTTTCGGGTTTTCTTCACCTTTAAGTCAAATAGCTCTACAAATCATCTTTAAGTCACTGAGTCACTAAGCGCCATAAAAATAATAGCCGTCCCTTCCCAGGCTTAATCGGCTTTAGGAAATTTACTCGCGAGATTGAATTAGGGAAAGTATTATTATAATACTTGTTAATTCTAAGATAATTAAACAAAATAAATATTAAAAAAATGATCACTAGTTATTTTAATTTATTTTAATTTATTTTAATTTATTTTAATTTATTTTAATTTATTTTAATTTATTTTAATTTATTTTAATTTATTTTAATTTATTTTAATTTATTTTAATTTATTTTAATTTATTTTAATTTATTTTAATTTATTTTAATTTATTTTAATTTATTTTAATTTATTTTAATTTATTTTAATTTATTTTAATTTATTTTAATTTATTTTAATTTATTTTAATTTATTTTAATTTATTTTAATTTATTTTAATTTATTTTAATTTATTTTAATTTATTTTAATTTATTTTAATTTATTTTAATTTATTTTAATTTATTTTAATTTATTTTAATTTATTTTAATTTATTTTAATTTATTTTAATTTATTTTAATTTATTTTAATTTATTTTAATTTATTTTAATTTATTTTAATTTATTTTAATTTATTTTAATTTATTTTAATTTATTTTAATTTATTTTAATTTATTTTATTTTAATTTATTTTAATTTATTTTAATTTATTTTAATTTATTTTAATTTATTTTAATTTATTTTAATTTATTTTAATATATTTTAATTTATTTTAATTTATTTTAATTTATTTTAATTTATTTTAATTTATTTTAATTTATTTTAATTTATTTTAATTTATTTTAATTTATTTTAATTTATTTTAATTTATTTTAATTTATTTTAATTTATTTTAATTTATTTTAATTTATTTTAATTTATTTTAATTTATTTTAATTTATTTTAATTTATTTTAATTTATTTTAATTTATTTTAATTTATTTTAATTTATTTTAATTTATTTTAATTTATTTTAATTTATTTTAATTTATTTTAATTTATTTTAATTTATTTTAATTTATTTTAATTTATTTTAATTTATTTTAATTTATTTTAATTTAGTTTAATTTATTTTAATTTATTTTAATTTATTTTAATTTATTTTAATTTATTTTAATTTATTTTAATTTATTTTAATTTATTTTAATTTATTTTAATTTATTTTAATTTATTTTAATTTATTTTAATTTATTTTAATTTATTTTAATTTT